CACATAAATCCAACTAAACCCTTTGCCATGGTATATAACTTTCCGGCCATGGTGTCCAGTTTTTCGGTCTTGTTCGTAATTATTGTTAACATGACTCACAGTTCTTGACTGTTGCGTAAATGTCTGTGTCGAATTCCGGCCACCAACACATCTGTCGAGCCAATGATTTCATCTCCTCCACCCCATATGTCCTTTATGCAATTCTTCTAGTACCGTCTTCCGTAGTGGCGGTGGGAGTACCAATCAATCGCCGCGATACAATACACCATCCAATTGTAATAAAAACTCCTCTCGATACTCAATTTCTGTAGCATAGCAGCAGTGAACTTCGTGATGGATTTGTTGGGGTTGAACAAGAACTGTAGCAATTGGTGATCAGTGATGATAGTAAACCGCAATCAAAAAAGGTACTTGTGCAATCGTCGAACAGCCCAAAATACAGCCAACGCTTCTTTTGAGTCTGTGAGTATCCCTTTTCTGTCGCATTGAGTAGAAGTGAAAGGCAGATCACTGGGCATCGTTCTTGTTCTAATACAGCACCGATTCCGACGTCGGACGCATCGGTGATGAGTGTATTCGTCTTCGACGGTGAAAAAGGAGTCAGAACAGGACGATCAGTAACGCAGCGAATTAAAGCACGTAAGATATGTTCACACTCCACCGACCAATCCCAAGCGTCTGGACATTGAGCACGGAAAAGCGGCTGCGCCCTGGTAGCAAAGTTCGGGATGAATCGGGAGTAGTATTGTAGGCATCCCATCACGGATCTCAAATGCGTTTGATCCTTTGGAGATTCGATGTTAGTCAATGGTTTGAAACGTGTCGGATCGGGACGGTATCCACGGAAATCAACTGTGAATCCTAGAAACTCCAACTCACTCGCTCCAAACACACATTTTGATGGCTTGATAGTCACGTTCCTGGAGAAGAACGCTCACATTCGCTGCGTAAGACGGGTATCGTGATCTCTCATATTAAGGCCAAAAATGAGGACGTCATCTTGATATGCAGGCACATCTTCGAGTCCTTTGATTACACTGTCTATTGCCGATTGAAAAAGGCCACGGGACACATGCAATCCGATCGGAGAAAATTTTACTGATACATTCCCCACGGCACGTTAATTGTTGTCAAGTAGCTAAATTCGACATTAAGTGAAATCTGTGGATATGCGTCCGCCAAATTGATCTTGGAAAAATACTGGCATCAATGCAATAACTTCATGAAATCTTCTGGTTCCATGGTGGTCGCTGCACATCTGCGCAAACTGCGATACAACGTCGGTTGAATATCTCCACAGATCCGTGGTGTCCTATCATCACTTTCCGTCGCCACGACGATCGGGGTAGCCCAGGTACTGGATTCAACTTTTCTTATCACACCATCCTGCTCCATTTTCTGCAATGCTTTCAGGACACCTTCCCGTTGACCGTATAGGAGGACGCGTCGTTTCAGGAAAATAGGTTCACCGTCCAAATCCAACTTTACTGACGGTACTTTCATGCCACCAACGTTGCCGGAACACTGTACAATCAAATGTTGAAGATGTGAGGTGATTGACATATCGTTGTCGGTATGTAGTATGATGGATCCTAATAGTAGCCGCATTGCTCAAAGGCCTAGAATAGACGGACTGTGGGCTGACACCAGGAATCGGATGGGATTGATACGCCGGATTCAGATTGAGCGCACAAAATCGTTTCGCCAAGTAATTGCAATTGGTGGCCAGTAACCCCATGAATGCGCACAAAAATCGAGGCTAGCGCAGCATTAGGACAAATCGCAGTGAGTGCTGATTTCGGG